TATAGATATTATTAATTCATTTTAAAATTATTAAATATACTTTTATATATCGCGAGAAGATAATTTAAAGAAATATAACTTATTATATTAAGCTATAATATTTATAAAAGAATATTAAGAAATATATTAATTTTCTAAATTAATAATTTAATAAAAAGATTATAATTATAATATATATAATTTTATATTAGATAGTAATATTAAAAATATATAAAAAATATATAAAATTATTATTAACGACTTTACTTATAAAGTATTAATAAATTATATATAATTAATATTATTAAAAGATAAATTTTTCTTATTATTAATATATATAACTCGCTTTCTTTTATATATATAGAGTAATTATATTTAATTTTATATCTTATTAATTTAGCGTAATTTTTAATTAAAATAATAATTAAGATAATTATTTATATTTCTAAATATAGAAATCTTAATTAAGAAATCTTATATATATATTATTTTATAGTATTATATTATAAATATATTATTTTATAATATATATATCTAAAATTCTATATTATATTAGTTATAGAAGTATATAAATATTAATATTCTATATCTTATTAGAGTATAATATAATAGATTAATATATTATATTATATTATATCTTTTTAACTAGTAAGTATATTAATAGATAAGAAGACTTTTATTTAATATAATCTATATATTAGATATATTAGATATAGTATAATTATTTATTAAATAAATTAATAATTAATATATATAATAGAATAAGATAGAGTTAAGTTTAAAAATCTTAAATTTATATATATAGTTAATTATAAATTCGAGTTCGCTACGATATTTAATTAGATCGACTAAATTATCGCGAATAAATAAATTAGCGTTCGCAATTATTAAAATCTCGCCCTTTCGCGTCTCTCTTATCTCTCTTATTAAAAAAATAGATATATATTATTAATATATAGAATAACCTTTTTATTTTCTATAAAAGTATTTTAAGATTTTTTTTTTAAATTATAGAACGAAATATAGGCTTTCAGATAAAAAAAGAATTTTTAAATTTAGTCTTATAATTATTAAAGCGTAAGGAATTCAAATATCGCTTATTAAAGTTCGCTCGATAGTCGAATAGTCTTAATTAGATATATATTATTTGATTTTAATATAGCTTTTTCATTTTCTATTAAAATTTTAAGATCTCTATTTTAAATTATAGAATAAACTATAAGCTTTTAGATAAAAAAAAGAATTTCTAAATTTAGTCTTATAATTATTAAAAGGTAAGGTACTTAAATATCGCTTATTAAAGATCGCTTATCGAATTTACTCAATAGCTCTAATTAAAAAAATTATTATAAATTTAATTTATAGATTTTTACTCGTTATAAATATTTTAAATATTTTATAATTAAGTATTTAACTAATATATTTATAATAATTATATTTAATAAAGTTAATATAGGAAATTTAATCGAAAAAAAGTTATATTATATTATAAATTAATTTTAAATATTATTTATAATATAGATTTAATTAAATATTTATTTTCGTATTTAAAAGACGTTAGAGTAAATATATAAATAGTAATTAGTTTTTAAATTTTATATATATATAAATTAATTAAGTAATTAATATATATAAAAGAATAAGATAGAGCTAAGCTTGAAAATCTTAAATTTATATATGTAATTAATTATAAATTTAGATCTTATACGCTTTTTAATTAGATCGGCTAAGTTAGCCTAATAGCTCTCTCGCGCTTCTCTTATTAAAAATTTATATATAGAAGTTTTACACTTTAAAGTACTTAGCTTATAATATATATAGTTACTTTATAATTCCCTAAATTATAAAGCTCGCTTTACGCTTTCTAACGCTATAAAAATTATAAAGTTTAATCTACTATTAGTAAATTATATAAATATTTAAATATTATAATAGTTATATTAGACGCGTTTAGAATCGAATAATAATTCTTTTATCTATTTATATAATTATTCTTCTTCTATTATTCTATTAATTCTATTAATTTTATTAATATAAATATAATTATTTTCGATATCCCTCGCTTAAAGGGTACTTAATATTTTAAATATATATATCTCTTTTATTCGCCTCTTAGAGCCCCTACTAACGCTCTTAGATTATCTCTTTACGAATTCGCTATTATTAATAATTGAGGCCGTAATCTAATAGGTATCTACTATTACTTATAAACGCGTTAAAAGATTCTTAAAAAGAGCTTAAACGAATTTATAGCTATTATTTTTTCCTATATACTTCTCTTAAGCTAGCGATAATATCTTTTAACTAAGCGATACTATCTCCTAAGACGCGTCTTTCTCCTCTATCTATTCTTTATTATCTTATTTTAAAGTCTCTCAATGTGTATTAGATTTTAAATATCGTTAAGAAGAAGCTTCTAAACGAGAGGAAGATACTATCGAAGATTTTCTATTATAAGATCTATTAATAGACTTCTTTAATAATAACTCTTTCGATAGCTTACGTTTTTTTAGCTCTTATTTAAATTTTATTTAATCTTTAATAAGGCTCGCTAGCTATATTACGCGTTATCTATATATTATAAAATCTATATAATATAATTTAGAAAGTTTAGTCTACTAATAATAAATTAAATTAATATTTAAATATAATAATTATATTAAACGCGTTCGAGATCGAATAATAATCCTTTCACCTATTTATATAATTATTCTTCTTTTACTATTCTATTAATTCTATTAATTTTATTAATATAAATATATTTACTCTTAATACCCTCGTACTTAGTTAAATAAGAGGAGGATCTAAAATAGATAAATATGAAGAATACTATAGAGAATATTATAGAGATAGTTATTAGTAGTAATAATATAATAGATCTATTTTTTACGATCTTATATTAATCTACTTAGTTAATATAAGAGAAGTTAATATAGTAAACGAATACGAAGAATATTATAAAGAAATTAAGCGGTAATAAGATTCTTAGTATTAAGAATACGACTTAGCTCTTTAAGATCCTACGTTATATACTCTCTATAATTCTATATTAAATTATTACTTAGTAAGCGAAGAATATTATTATAACTTAGTCTATTATTTCTACTATATTAAGAAGTAAAAGAAAAAACTATAATAGATAAATAATAAAGAATACTACGGAGAAACTAAGCGGTAATAAGATTATTATTATTAAGAATACGGCTTAGCTCTCTAAGATCCTATATTATATACTCTCCACGATTTTATATTAAATTATTACTTCGAAACGATATATATTTAAATAAATTAAAATTATTCGATATCTATAGCTATTTTATTATTCGAAAAATTTTACTACGATAGAAGATATTATAGGATTCACACTACTAATTAGCACGTTATCTTTATTTCTTTTCGATATTTCGATACTTCTTATTATAAGAATATAATCTTTCTCTATTTTTTATAAGTAATTATTATACCTTTCTAATTAGATCTTAGCGCGCCTCTCTTCGTATATATATACTTATATACTATATAGATTAAATTAATTTTATAGTAGTAGAAGTAGGTTAAAAACGTATAGTAAGCGATTAGAGTTCGATTTAACTTAGGGCTAGGGCTAAAATTCGATTTAACTTAGAAAAATCCAACTTCATAAATTTAATTCATGAGCCTTTACTTGTTAATAATAATTTATTATAAGATTATAAAGATTATATTATTATATTAAACGTTATAATAATAAAATTCTTTATAATTATTAATAAGATTTAAGATCTTTAATATTAAAAAGTAAAGAATTTAATTAATAATATACTCGCTAAAATTAATTAAATTTATATAAATTTATTTTAATATTCTTATAAATTTATTTTATATTATTTATATTATTAATTCTAAATCTATCGATTTTAATTTTATTATTATTATAATATTATTTAATTATTTTATCTTTTTATAATATTATAATATAGCGATTATAAATTTAATTTATAGAATTTAAATTATATTATATAAATTTTATAATATATAGATAATATATTATATAGTTAGCGAATTTTATTAAAGATTAAATAAAGATTAAATAAGAGTTAAAAGAATATAAATTATCGAAAAGATTATTATAAAAGAAATCTAATAATAGATTTTATAATAGAGAGTTTTTAATAGCGTTTTCCTCTTATTTAAAAGCTTCTTCTTAATAATATTTAAAATCTAATATATATTAAGAGATTTTAAATTATATTAATTAGTATATATAAAAGAATAAGATAGAGCTAAATTAGAAAATCTTAAATTTATATATATAGCTAATTATTAATTCGTTAGATCTACGCTTTTTAATTAGATATCGTAAGTAAATAAATTAGCGTTCGTAACTATTAAAAAAATAGATATACGTTATTAACATATAGAATAACTTTTTTATTTTCTATTAAATTTTTAAGATTTTTTTTTTAGATTATAGAATGAGATATAGGCTTTCAGATAAAAAAAGAATTTCTAAATTTAGTCTTATAATTATTAAAGCGCAAGGAATTTAAATATCGCTCACCAAAGTTCGCTCACTAAAGTTCGCTCGACAGCCCTGATTAAAAAATAGGTGTACATTATTTGATTTTAAAATAACTTTTTTATTTTCTATTAAAATTTTAAGATTTTTCTTTTAAATTATAGAACGTAATATGAGCTTTTAGATAAGAAAAGAATTACTAAATTTAGTCTTATAGATATTTAAAGGTAAGGAATTCAAATATCGCTTATCAAAGATCGCTTATCAAAGACCGCTCACCAAATTTACTCGACAGCCCTGATTAAAAAAAACGATTATGAATTTAATTCATAGGCCTTTACTCGTAGAGTATAAATAGAGAAGAAAAATACGTTTTAAGAGATAATATTATTAAATTAAAAGATATTATTACTAGCTTAAAAGAAGTATGTAAAAAAAAAAAAAATTATTCGTTTAAACTTTTTTAAACTTTTTTTTAATATACGCGGAGTTCTCCAAGGGCAGGCCCAGGGGGGTCGACGCCTCATACCTGGATATACACAAACGTGAGAGCGCCTGGGACGACGACTCCTTCGGGGGGATCGAGCACGCCTACCCAGTCCGTAGTGGCAGGGAAGTCGACCAACTCCGTCCCGCCGCCTGCACGACCCAACACGATCTCGGTCGTGGGCGACGACGCAAGGTCGAACCCCTCCGTGTCCCAGTTCACGAACCCCTTCGCGCAGTACAGCCTAAACACGTGTACACAGGGCAGCGTGTTCAAGAGCACGTCCATGGTCTCGCCCCAAGGCTACGTCACGACCTCCTCCGTCTGGGGAACCGCGCTCGCCTCTTTGCTCGTGGCCGCGATGAGGTACTATATGACGAAGAGACCCTCGGCCGTAATCATGATCGACGAGACGAAGGTGGCCGCGACCTACAGCAAGATCTGCTCCGTGCTCTACGAGATCTCCGCGTCCAAGCCTCTGCCCAAGGTCAAGGACGCGTCCACGCTCTACCTGTCGAAGGCGATCTCGAGGCTCAGCAAGGACGACGTCCCGATCTCGAACGCGGAGACGTGGCATACTATGAGCAGAACCCAGGAGGGGAAGGACATCATGTCCGTGCTCTCGACCATGATCGTGGTGTCGAAGATGGTGCCGGAGGCGATGGTGCACCCGATATCGTAGATACTGCCGTCCTTGGGCACGCCTGTGGTCGTCGAGCACAACGGGAACGTGATCTTCGCCATCGACGCGGGTGCGTTCGTCAGCCCGTCTCCGGACAGGTGGGAGGTGTGGTGCTCGATTTTAAAGATGAACGCAATCACGAAGCACGTCGCGTATAGGCTTAGGGGCATAAGCGCGGTCCAGGCTATCTCTACGATGATGAGTGAGATAAAGAAGTCGGAGCTGACGGATATGAAGAACTGGATTAGGTTGACGGAGATGACCCCGAACGTGTAGATGGACGACTAGACGTTGACTTTGAGAACACCTTCGCATACAGCCCTGAGACTTCGAGCGTCTCCGTACGCTTGGGCACTACCGTGCTTATCTCGAAGTCCGAGTACGAGACGAAGTCAGTGCCTGTCTGCTCGTAGTCGAAAACCTCCTCGTCCCTCTTGGCGGCGGCCACCGCGGGGATCTCTACGCTGCTCTTAAAGTACATGCGCGCGTTCATAGGGCCGTCTATGCCTGTGCTCGAGTAGTAGTCCACGCACGTCCTCGAGGCTATGAGCCAGTTCGTGTCCATGGACGTGATGGAGGGCTTTATCCTCTCTAGAATCGACCATAGGTGGACGAATATGTTGGGAGTCGAGTTCTTCCACGTTATCGTGGAGTGGTTGATGGCGTAGCCCTTAGAGATCATCATCTAGATGAACACGTGCGCCTTCTCGTCCACGGGCGCCTGCGGGAGATTGAATTAGCACTTATGTGTGATGGCGAACAGGTTGTCGTAGCTGGATACGATCTCGTTCATCTTGGCGGACTCGATGAGAATCTAGCCCACGCTCGCCCTCGAGGAATTGGACGTGTTGATGGATACGTGCACGGTCGCGATTATACGCAAGTCCGCGACGATAAGCGAGCTTACGGATATGTTCATGGTGCCGGAGAAGCTCGTGTTTTGAACTAGTTCACAGAGGCGCCCACGTTCACCTGCCTGGAGAACGTCTCCGTCCATAACCCGCACGCATCCACGGGCTCGTCCAGCCCCCTGCCCGTCATCCCCTTCAAGATCGCCCTGGAGATCACGAGCGCGACGCTGCAGTCGTAGCACTTCGAGTTTACGGGCATGCGTCTGACCATCCGGTGGTACCACCTCATCTTTCCGAACATGGTCGCGTCCATGTCCCTGTGCTTGATCACTGCCGGCTCGGTGTCCCCAGGTGCGTGAACAGGTATGACTCTCACCGTGTTCGCGGTCGGGTCGCCGCACGGACACATCTCCACGAGCATGCCCATGTTCGAGCAGTACGATCTGAGTCTGGACTCGAACTCGATGGTAGTCACGTCCACGTGCATGTTCACGTCCACGCTCGTGGGTTTGGTCATCTTCATGATCGCGTCCGCGAGGTCAGTCCCATGCGTGATCAAGGTCGTGTGTACAGGGGACTCTACGGACAAGATCGTGGATATGTACGCGAGCGGAGCCGGTGTCACGATTATGTTCGTGTTCAACCTCGGACCCACGTACGCCCTCATGGCTATCTCCACCTGCGGGTCCATGAGCACGTCGATGTGCATCTTCGGCCCCCACTGCGTGAAGGCGTCTACGCACTCGAAGATGTAGACGACCGAGGCCGCGTGTAGGACCGACATCATGCCCGCGATGACGACCCTGGCCTTGAAGTCACCCACGACCGTGCACCTGTCCAGGAACTCGATCATGGACAGGGAGTCGGAGATGATGGCAGACGTGACCACGTTGAACCACGTGAGCCTGAGCCCACGGTTGCGTCAGTGCAGATGTCCTCGATGTAGGTTGGGATCTTGGACTCGTCTAGCCTCTCTTGTGCTACCAGACCCTTGCCCGAGAGGACGTTGTGGTTGCACTTCAGGGACATGGAACCCATCGTGATGGCCTCCGTGATGACGCCCGCATCCTCGATCATGCCCGTGGTCGTCTTGATGAACGCGGACCCCTGCTTGACGACGCGGGCGACCATGTCCACCCTCGAGAACACCTCCCTGTTTGAGCACCTGATCGTCTCCATGTTCATCTTCGTGTTTAGAGCTATTCGACTATCGAGCGAACTTTAATAAGCGATATTTAAATTCCTTACGCTTTAATAATTATAAGACTAAATTTAAAAACTCTTTTTTATCTAAAAGCTTATATTTCGTTTTATAATTTAAAAAAAATCTTAAAATTTTAATAGAAAATAAAAAAGTTATTTTATATATTAATAACGTATATCTTAATTTTTAATAGAAAGACGTAAGAGAGCGAGATTTTAATAATTATAGATATTATTTTATTAACTCGCGATATCTAATTAAAAAGCGTAGATCTATTAAATTAATAATTAACTATATATATAAATTTAAGATTTTTAAACTTAACTCTATCTTATTCTATTATATATATTAATAAATTATAATCTTTTTATAAATTAATACTCGTATTATTTAGAAGTAAGCTATCTCGCTTAATAGCGTCGAGAGAGTTAATTAATTAAACTATTTAGTTCTTCGCAAAATCGTAGTTTAACTAAATTAACTCTCTCGACGCTATTAAGCGAGATAGCTTACTTCTAAATAATACGAGTATAGTTATTATAGATTAATAACGCTAATAAAAAAGATTATTTTAAAGATTTCTTAAATAATAAATAAAGGCTAGCGACTTTAAGATAGTAATAATAGAAGTTTATTATTAGATTTAAATATTTTACTATATCTATAAATAATTATTAAAATAGATTTTTCTTAATTTTAAAGCTTTTATATCTAATTTTATATATTAGATATTCTCTCTTATTAATTAAGAAATTATTTTTTTATTTTTTTAATTAAATAAGACTATTTTTTTAATATTTTAAATTATATCTTTTTTATTAATATTATTCTAATAGTAAATTATTATTATTAAAATATAATAGTTATAAGTAAAAGATTAAATAAATATTATTTATAAAAGTTAAAAGTTTTAACTTATAGACGAAATTATTTAAAACTTTAATAATTTTAAATAATTTCATTTTTTTATAATTTAGTAATTTATTAAGATATATAGTTTTAATCTTTCTTTTATTAAGTATAATTATATCTTTAATCTTAAATTTAAATATTAAAAGTTAATAATAATTAACTTATCTCTTTTATAGAATTTATAATTATTTAAGTTAATTTCTTAAATAATTCCTTATAATATCGATCTTTTCGATAAACTTATTAATTAACTTAATATCTCTTTTCGCTTTTTAATTAGTAAATTAGTTTTAAAAAGTAGAAAATTCTATTTTTAAATAAGAAATATATTCTTTAATAAGAAGAAATAATAATATACTTAATAAGGTATTTTTATTAAAATTAACTTCGAACTTTACTATTAATAATAAATTTATTTAATTATCTTAATTATAATTAATATAAATTTTAAAATTAATATATATAATAGAATAAGATAGATTTAAGCTTAAAAATCTTAAATTTATATATATAGTTAATAATAAATTTAGAGTTACTACGCTCTTTAATTAAATCGACTAAATTATCGCGAGTAAATAAATTAACGTTCGTAACTATTAACTATTAAAAAAATCGATATACGTTATTAACATATAGAATAAGTTTTTTCTTTTCTATTAAAATTTTAATAATTCTTTTTTAAATTATAAAAAATAATTTACGCTATTTAATATTAAAAGAATTATAAAATTCGATCTTATAATTATTAAGAAGTAAGAAGCTTAAATATCGTTTATTAAAGTTTAAGTTCGCTTCTTAAAGATCGCTTATTAAATTTACTCGATAGCTCTAATTAAAAAAACAATTATAAATTTAATTTATAGGCCTTTACTCGTATTAAATGAAAATAATATTAATATTCTTTATTTATTTATTAATTTTAAAATAGAATATACTAGAGTATTTAAATTTAATCTTAATTCTTTTATATAGTTTATTTTAGAAATATATTATAAATTAGATATCTCGATTTAAAGATTAAAATAATAATAAATAAATATTCTTTCTCTTATTATATAAATTTAATAAAGATTTAAACTACTATCTTTACTTTTAAGAAATTTAAAAAAATAAATTTCTTTTTTTATTAAGTCTATTTAGAATTATTATAATATATTAATAGAAATTTTTATATTTAAGTTAAATAGATAATAATATAAAATATATATAAAAATAGTTTATTAATTTTAAAGAAAAATAGAAAGAGATTTAATATGAGATAGTAAGATCTCTTTTAATAAAATTACGTAGTAGCTATATAATTACGAGATTTAGATATATAATTAATAGAATAAATAGATTAATTACTAGATAAACTAATAATTAAAAAAAAAGAAGAAAAGAAGATTTATAAGTATTTAAGACTTTATTAAATATATTAAATATTTATCTTAGCTACGTAGCTTATAGCCTAATAAGCGATATAAGCGAGTCTATTAATTTACTTCGAATACTTTTATTCTTATAATTATATTTCTCTTTAAAAGATTTAATCTTTAAATCTTATTATTATTATATTTTATAATTAAATATATATAAATTTATTAATATTATCTATACTATTTATTATTAGTTTAAATATAATCTAAATTAATATATATTATAATAGCGTATTTATACTATATACTCTAAGATCTTCTTAAATATATTATTATATTTATATACTAAATCGCGATAGTATCGCTATATATATTATTATTTTAATTAATAGAATATAGGCGTAATATTATCTTATTATAATATACTATTATTACTATTATTATACGCTATTATTATATTATTACTTTATAATCGTAATAATCTTATTATAATAATCGTTAAAAGTCGCGCTAGTAAATATAAAAGACTTATTTTTAATTTAACTTTTATTCTTTTTAATAATAATATTAATATTAACGCTATTATAAGTAAATATCTAATTCTTCTTTATATCTACTATCTTATTTTTATTCGTTTTTATTATAATATCGCGATAGCGAGCTATATATTATTATAATAATATAATATATATATCGATTAAGATAATAATTAAATAAGATTATAGTTATTTAAATTAATTTTATATATAATAAATATCTTAAAGAATACTTTATAATACTTTATAGATAGTATAAGAAGTATATTAATATATTAATAGTAATATTAAATCTTTATTCTTATAACTCTATAAATTATTAAATACTTATAACTATTATAGTCTCTACGCCTCGCGCTATTATTAATAGATATTTATATTTATTTTAAAGATATACTTAACTAAGAAGACTATTAGCCCCCTCTATCGCTATTTTAAATATTATTTATAAATAAAAGAGATATTAGATAACTAAGAGATTATATTAACGTATACTAGACTTCTTCTATTATTATTATATATATACTCTTATATATAATTCTTATATAATATATATCGCGTCTTCTATTAGCTCGCGCTAATATAAATATAAGCGATACTTTTATAAGAGTTATATATATATTATAAATTTAGTTTTTATTTATTAGATTAATATTCTCGCTATAATTTATATTAATAGAGATATTTATATTATTCTTTATCGCTAAAATAATATAAATTTTAATTAATATATATTAGAGTACGTAGTTAATATATATAACGATTTATTACGTTAAAGAACTTCGACGTAATATTACTATCCTCGCCTCTTCTTTAACTACTTCTCTTATTATTTCTTATATTAAGTTTTTCTACTATTTAATAAATCTTTTAAATAAATAATTATTTTCTAATATAAGATAATAAATAAGTTAATATTAAGTAGTATTAATCTTATATATAATCTTAATAATTATTTTTTTTACTATATATAATATCTTAGCGCCTTAGAATCGATTTATAGATATTTTAGCTATTTTTATTAGATCTTTTAATTATAACTTATTCGCTTTTTAAAATTTCTCTATTACTACTTTTTCTATAATCTTTCTTATTTTTTAATCTCTCTTAATAATTATATCTTTATTTTTATCTTAAATATTAATTTATATAATTTCTTTACTTACTTAAAGTTCTTAATTATATCTTTAATATTTTTAAGATACTCTATTAATTTTTATAAAGCTTTATAAGATAAAGAGTTTTTTTAATTAATAAGATACTTAGTCTTATCTTTATAAACTCTTTTATCTAATATCTTATTAATCTTCTATTCTTCTTCTTTATTAATTAAAATTATTTATAACTTTAAATTATTATTATATAAATATTATAATTTTAATAATAATATATAAAATATAGAATAAATTTTTCTATATCTAGTAAAGAGATTTAGTTTATAAATCTATATACTTATTTTCTCTAATACTTTAAAAGATCTAAGTTATTTATAATTAAGTTTCTTCTTTAATTATAAAATATATATATTTAAGCTTTATAATAGTACTTTATCTTCTTTTTTAAAAATTATAGCTCTATAATTACTATTATAATACTTTACTTATTATTTTAACGCTCGCTTTTATAATTATTCTACTCGCTCTATAATAAGCGATACTTTTTCTCTTAAAATTCTACTTTTAAAAGTATTTTTTAAATCTACTATATATCTTATTAATAAATCTTATAAAATCTTATTAATACTTATATATACGCTATTATTATATATAAATATAATTATTAATAAGATTTTAAATTAGTTATTTTATTTATAATTATAATATACTTATAAATAATATTCTAATATTTAATTTTATCTCTTAATTTAAGTATTAATTTAAAAATAAAACGTAATACTTAGTTTATACTTCGCTTCTAGATATTAATATAATATTATTTAAATTTTTTTATAAATAAAGAGTCTTAATTTAAAATTAAGTTATATATTATATCGCGTAATAATATAAATTTTTATTATAAGATATTAATAAGGCTATTAGCCTTAAGATTTTTAATAATTATTATATATATTATATACTTAATTAGCTTATCTATTAAGATTAAGATAATATTATAAATTTTATTAATATATAAATCTCTTATAAATAATAGATTTATAATAAAATTTAGTATTAT